CTGCAGGGATTTTAGCATATCCCTTGTTACATACTTTGTGATTTTGCTCGGATTTCTGAGGAACCTACGCATGTGGTAGTATAGGTGATACCTAGCAATACTCGTGATTATCTTTGAGGTTCCCTTGCTTTCCAGTAGGTGTTCTGTACTTATTCCACACTTATATGTGATAATGTAAGCAGCCAGTATTGATGCAAAATAGGAGTCTTTTATATAATTGAACTTTACCCTGTAATATCCTTTGCGGTACCAGTCCACTTTGTGTCGAGATCGGCAAAGTTGGTTACAAAACTGTTGTGAGAGGTGCTGGTGCAGTCGCAAACGTAAATTTCAAACCTATTTATTTTGTATGGAAGTGGATCCCTGTTATGGCTAAAGGCTTGAACGGTTCCATAATTACCCCATATTTTCTCCCATTGGTAAAGGTACCACGTCCACTTTTTATTTCCCCTGAATGTTCTGGATGTGATGGTGTAACTCTCCAGGTCCGTAACCTTAAAGAATATGTCCCTGGATTCTAAAGTTCCATCCTTTGCAAATGTAACCTGAAAGTCAAATTTAGACATTTCTGCACCCGGATATTTTTTCCTAAAATCCTCCTTCATCTTCCGTCTTTCAATTGGTGCTGCCGCCTTTACTTTTTCGTAGTTCTGTCCATAATATTCACGGAATATGTTTCCACTAGTACTCATTTTATTTAATCCATGTAATAAAAATGAAGAAATTAACAGTGTTTATTGAGGGTGGAACTACCGAGTTTTTCCCAGACAAGTGTATTACGACGAACGCAGAGTCGGAATTAATTCTAAAGAACGCAACCATCTACTGGACTTATAAAAACGTACGTTTGAATGTTAACGATAATATTACCTATGGACAAAAGAAGATTACCTTCGAAGATGGCTACTGGACCTTTGATGCAATAAAGAAAAAAGTGAAGATAGATGGAATAACAATAGAACGTAACACACACAACAATACCTGCAGAATCTATCCGGCAACCAAGGTGAACGTACATTTAAATGAATTTGCTCCGTTAATTGGATTCCCAGAAACGGAGATCCTAACCTCTGAAGTATGGGAGAGATCTCCCTATCCTATAGATATTAATCACGGTCTTAAATACGTTACCATCGACTGTGATGTTGTTAATACATCCCTAAATTTTGATGTAAACGGTAAGGGAAGTTTTACGGTGAGCACATTACCCGTGCCATCTGACCAGCACCTGAACGGAACAACAACATTTTTCAAGGATATTGGAAGTAGGGTTTATGTTAATAACGGTTCCCACAACAGATTTTCCTTCAGTATCAATACGAACATTGGTGATAAGGTTGGTATGTCTGCACTCCTCGAATTCTATATCACATGAATAAAATGGAAGACGGACACTTAACTGAACAAGAGTTAAGAGATATCTACTACAATCCAGGTACCGGCTATCAGTCCGCGGAGAAGCTCTATCGGAAAGCAAAGGATGAGGGACTAGACGTTAGTCGAAAAACGGTGAAGGACTGGTTAAAGACTCAAGACACCTACACAAGGTATAAACCTATCGTTAGAAAACATAAATTTCAGAGAACATTCGTCAAAGACCTAGCGGACCAGGTGCAGATGGATTTAGTGGATATGGGAAAATACAAAAATCAGAACAAAGGATATTACTGGATATTAACAGCTGTAGAGATCCTGAGCCGGTACGGATTTGCTATTCCCGTCTACAGAAAGGACACGAAAAACATGACGAAGGCTGTGAACTTATTATTGGTTGAATTCAAGAAAAGGTTTGGGAAATACCCGGAAGTTGCTCAGTTCGACGAGGGAAAGGAATTCTACAATGTTGGTGTTAGGAACCTCTTACAAAAACACAACGTCCGCTATTTTTCCACGAACTCTGACAGAAAGGCAGCTATCAGTGAAAGATTTAACAGAACTTTGAAAACAATGATGTGGAAGTATTTCTACAGTAAAGGAACTTACAACTGGGTCGATGCCATAGACGAGCTTACGAATAATTACAATCATACCAAACACAGCAGTATACTAATGAGACCCGCTGACGTAAACAAGTCGAACAAGGACCAGGTATGGATTACGTTATATGGTTACGGACTAGGGGAATTTCCATTGCCTAAGTTTAGGGTTGACGACACGGTTCGAATAACGATGTATAAAAATATCTTTACCAAGGGATACGAAGCAAACTTTACGGAAGAGATATTCAAAGTCGTAAAAGTATTCAGAGGAGATCCCAACATGTATGAAATAGAAAGTCATGATGGAGACCGATCATTGGAAAGTTTTACGAAGAGGAACTGTCCGCCGTGGACAAAAAGGACGATGTGTATAGGGTGGAGAAAATTCTGAGAAGAAGAAAGGGTATGGTATTGGTCAAGTGGTTAGGATACGATAGTAAACACAATTCCTGGATTCCTGAAGAAAATATTAAGGATATAAAATAAATGGCTGACATTGATATGGATGAAATGAACCGCGTCGACGACCGCGAAGCCGAAGAAGCCGGAACGGCGGAGGAAGAAACAAGTTTCATTGACGATGATGATGGGAGACGGCACGAAAGTATATTAATTCCCATTGGATTCAATCCAGACGTTGACGGATCAAGACCCAGCGGTTCCACACCAAACATCAGACGGGATGTTGGGGGTAATGAAACGGGCCTATACGTTGGATAAAAAGGATTTCCTTAAAAGGGAACTGGGAGTAAATATCAATAAGGGAGACGGTCCATCTTCCACCATCATCTTTGACAAAATGAAGCTAACCGTAAATAAGGCCGGAACAAAAATTAACGGTGCTACATTCAAAGATGTCAAGATCATTATCTCGAAGAATGGTAAAATGATATACTCTACGGATAAGAACAAGGAATTCGTCATCAATGAATACAAGGATTTGATCAGGAAAGCTAAAATAGAGCATTCAAAAACACCTGCAGCCTTAGTGGAGGAACAACTCGAACGACAGAATTTAGATGCTCCTCAGGAACTTGTGGATAATGTAATGGAAAATATCATCAAAAGAATGGATGATGAACTGTCTAACCAAAGCGAAGCCATCAGTAATAGTACAGTTATAACAGAGAACGAACTAAGGGAACTCAGAGGTATTCTGAACGTAAAAGGAAACTCGGGTAAGCAAAAGATTGAGTATCTTGAAGTAGAAAGAAATCATTGGAAAGAACTGGCTGTAACTGAACGGACTGCAGGACGTGAACAAAAAGGCTCTCCTGTACGAAGCAATGGCAGACATGACAGAACTAAAAGCGGATGAGATAAGGTTAAGATCAAACGAACGACCAAAAGGAACGACCAAAACGGAAACAAGCGATCTTACGAGGCTCGAAAGATTTAGGAAGTGGGCAAAAGAAAATATAGCCGGAATATCAGCCGTAGCGATATCTGCGGCGGGTATCATTACCACGATTATTATGGGAGCCAGAAGCGCAGCAAGAAAGGGAGCGAGAGCAACAAGCAAGTTCACAAAAGCAGTGGCAAACCAAGCTGGGAAGGTCGGACCCGTACTAGCATCCGTACTGAACCTCATCGCCAAGGTTTTAGGATGGGGAGCAAAGGGTATTGCATTCCTAGCGAAAAATCTTTGGATTTTAGCACTGGCATTAACCTACTTCCTGTACAATGAATACAAAAAGAAAAAATAAATACCATATAATAAACAATGGGAGATAGAAAAGACTTTTGTAATATATTCATGTTAATATGCACTATAGTTATTATGCTAATCAGCATATATAAACACTGGTCTGTAGCCTGTACATTTAGTTAGTACTACAATTCAAATATATAACATATAATATAACATGGTGTCAGGTGTGGCCGAATTTTCAGCAACAAGATGAACGATATACGAGGGCCAGGCGAGCTCAACTTTGAATCGACCAACTTGTCTGAAGCTTGGGCAAAATGGAAAACAAGTCACGGTGGGCATAAAAGACAGCGAATTTGGCCAAGTACAAATAACTTTCTCTCGTTAGTTTGGAATATCATGAAACTCCCTCACAGGATAGAACTTAACATTCCTAAAAATCGTATGTTTTTGTTTTTCGATTTTGTTACATTTTGGCGGGAAAATGACGTGCCAACTTTGCCGCCAAAAAAATAAACACGAGCTAAGAACATGCTAGTAACTTTTTCGAAAAGATTGTCCTATAAGGATCTCAAAATTGTAAAAACATTAAAAATACAACAAGGCAGTGCGAAGATATGGCGATTCAAAGTTCGAAAAAAATCTATTTTTAGTAACAAAATGGCTGATTTTTCAGTAAAAATAGAACTTTGAATCGCCATATCTTCGCCCTGCCTTGTTGTATTTTTAATGTTTTTACAGTTTTGAGATCCTTATAGGACAATCTTTTCGAAAAAGTTACTAGCATGTTCTTAGCTCGTGTTTAATTTTCTGGCGCCAAAGTTGGCACGTCATTTTCCCGCCAAAATGTAACAAAATCGAAAAACAAAAAACATACGATCTTTAGGAATGTTAAGTTCTATCCTGTGAAGGAGTTTCGTGATATTCCAAACTAACGAGAGAAAGTTATATGTACTTGGCCAAATTCGCTGTCTTTTATGCCCACCGTGAGTATGCAGTTTTATCTAGTCGCGACATGCAAGGACAGAAGGGAAGACGAGAAAGTCGCTATTTTTATGTGCATGATTGGCAGACAAGGACAAGACATCAGAGATACATTCGAACTTGATGAAGACAACGACGGTGAAGAAATCGTGACAGTGGAAATACTTATTCAGAAGTTCGAGCAGTACTCATGACGACCCGCACGCCTATAAATTGAATTATCTTGAAGGTGTTAGTTACCACAGCATTATTAGTCGAGGTGGTAAGAGTGGTGACATGTATAATAAATTTATAGTGAAATAATTTATGCGTGCATGAAATTTAACCCCATAGATATGATGTAGCAAATAACTAACTGAGCTAACATACAAACCAGGTTGTCATCACCAATTCATGATAATGTTAGCAGACAATGCCGCGCAAAGTTCAAATTGCGCCAAAACTGGTCTGAAGAAGAGTGCATTCTGCTTGACAATCGTGTGTATGGATTCAGGATGGAGATCAAGATCGAACAAACTGGCAATATTTTGATGGCTGCTTATTAAAGAATAAAGATTAAAGATTAATGCGAAGTATTTTCAATCAGTAAGGTTAGGTAATAGTCAAAAGGCTATAGCCTATAGGTATTGCAGCACGCATCAGTTATTATTTCTTTGGTATACAGTATGCTAGATACCACGGCTTTCAAGCAGGGCTATCACAACCGCGAGTTGATTGTACTATATTCGTTATTTAATATACTCATTTCTATATTTTGATACAAGGTAGCTCAAGACAAATAATATTTATTTACATATATATACCGGGTGGAGCAAAAAAAGTTCAGGCGTTTGATCTACCATAGCGAAAAAACTATAAGAGCTATACATCGCCGCTCAAATAAATGTAGCTGTATTCATAAAAGGCTAACTTAAATTTTGATAGGTTATACATGAGATATC